CAAGCTTTAATGCTGATGAAATCTGCAAGATCTATTTCCTTTGTCTCTGATGTTGGGACTTAGAGAATTCAGCCCAGCCTTGAGTCAACCTTGCTGTCCACTGCACTGATACTGAATTTAGTCCAAGAATTGCAGACTTGCCTTGCAAAGCCTACAAAAGCATATCCACAGGGATGACCATTCCAAAATAAACGTTTTTTCCCCCTGAAAGTTGTAGAAATATAGTAGATTCCAAAGACGGCTGCCATATTGTTTGTGACCATTGTAATGTGCATAATTTGTGCACACATTGTTGTTGTGCACACATCCTGCAACTATGCAGTAATGATGTTTTATGTATGCAACAGTTTAGGGAATAATTGCATTAAGTTACTGGACATTTTAGGCATTTTAAATCCATTGCAGTTTCTGAAGTGCACAGTGTGCAGCGAGAAATAGGTCTGTTTGTCACTCACCGAATAAAAGAAGTCACAAAGTGGAACTCGTGCTGTTATATTAAGATGCCTGACTAAAAATAAATGAGTTTTGAATATGCATTATGTTCAGGAGTTAAATGTTCCATGTCAGTGGATTGCAGCTGAGACTATAAATGGTACACTTAAGCAATCTGAACAGTTAACAAGTGAAATAAGCACAACGAAGTTGTTGACAAAGGCACAGATACTATAAAGCAGAAATAGTAAACACTTTCTTCATCATCCAAAAGCATGGAGTCAGAAGAGGGTTTTTATCCAGGACCTTCTTGGGTCAGAAGCAAATAGCTAAGATGAGAAAACAACTACACATAGTCTTATTGAACAAATTATGCTGAAGAACACTAATGGAACCAGTGCTTACAAATGTAAAGCTAAAAACAGAATCTGTGTTCATTCCTCTGACAATCTGCATGGGGCAGTACCAGACTGTAGTTGATGAGATACATGATCGAAAACATATAAAGACTCTGATTGATTTCGGTGGAGTTTATATAGGCCTTTGGAGAGGAGACTTGTTTCCTCACGGCTATGGAGCAGGCATTGGCATCTGGAAGAGCCATTCATTGTCCAGTTTGCCAACCTGTAGGAACAGATAATCCGGATTTCTAATTTGGCATAACTATAAAGGGAAGGGTAACAGCTGTCCTGTGTACAGTACTATACAATCCCTCCTGGCCAGAGACTCCAAAATCCTTTTTCCTGTAAAGGGTTAAGAAGCTCAGGTAACCTGGCTGGCATCTGACCTAAAGGACCAATAAGGGGACAAGATACTTTCAAATCTTGGCGGGGGGAAGGCTTTTGTTTGTGTTCTTTGTTTGGGAGTGTGTTCGTTCTCGGGACTGAGAGGGACCAGACATCAATCCAGGTTCTCCACATCTTTCTAAACAAGTCTCT